CAAAGTTAACAGCATCTGTTACTCGCTTTCTGATTTCGCTTATAGTGTGAAAAATACCGGGAATACAGTCGAACATGGTTATATCAAAGATGATGAACAAGAATCATCAAGAAATCTCACAAAAGAAACAGTCAACTTTTTGTGGTTGCATATTCTTCAAAATGTTGTCAATCGTTTGCACAAGTCCGATCAAGCTAAGAAGGATTTAATACGTTGTTTGGAAGAATATTTTACGAATAATAATATTCTATTGAAGCAAGTACAACAGTTTGTTAAAGATTATCCACCAAATAATGCTTTTTTGGTTTTATACTCAACCAAACTTAATTTCTAATGCTATTAACAAAGCATCGCGTTCGCTGGATTTATACGCTTTGTTTGACTTGCGATATTTCATTATTGATCTTTGTCAATTGCTTAAAAAAACGATGTTCACAAGCTGACTTCTTCGCCTATCGTGGTGTCCTTGTGGATAGAAATAAGCTCGATATAATGCAATCTTCAGTAAATGAAGACGATCTCATGTCCATGCGTGATTTTCTATCTACATCTCGTTCACAGTGAATAACTGAAAAGTTTTGTTACAATAACAATAATCATCCAAATAAGGTATAATATTGATGTACACGCGAATAAAAAATTTATGCTGCTTCCAATTTACAACATGTTGTTTATTCTGATATTAGCGATTAAAGTTCATTTAACGAAGAAGAAATTCTCTTTGATCTTGATTCAACATTTGAATTGAAATGCATTATACCAGATGTAACAGAACTTGATTGCTTTATTATTCAGCTTACGAGGGAAGGTCGCCAAGTGTGAATCGCCAATCGAGTTGATATTTTGTCCATAAATAGGACTTGACGAGACCAGTAGAAACTCAGAATCGTTCTTCCCGATGTCCTGTTCTTCTCGAGTTATTACTATTTTACTAAATGTGTTGCCCATGACAAGGTACTTGTGAAGAAATCGAATTACAAAATTTCGATCTGAAATTTTGTCAGTAGGTTGCTTGCTCAGTCATTGAAATCNTCTGAAATTTTGTCCATATGTAGATCTCATGCTCATTAGAATTTCCCAAAAAATTTCAGACCAAAAGAATATGTTCTTCTTGCGATATTGAATATCTAAAAATGATCATGTGTCACCAGAAAAGGTAAGAAAACGGAGTGTCTTGAATACCCAATATCTCAAGGAGAACATCTTTTTTTGGGCTGAAATTTTTAGGGCATTCTAATGAGCATGAGATCTACATATGGACAAAATTTCAGATCGAAATTTTGTAATTCGATTTCTTCACAAGTACTTTGTCATAGGTAACAAATGCAGTCAAATAGTAATCACTCGAGAAGAACAGGGCATCGGGACGAACCATTATTGGCTTCTGTTGGTCTCCTTAAGTCCTACTTATGGACAAAATATCAACTCGATCGGTGATTCACACTTGGAGACCTTCCCTCGTTAGTGTCCTCGCACACATAAACTATAGGATATCCTGCTTATTTTTTGTAATAGCATTCACTCAGTTTTGAAAACTAACTTTACAACATTAGTCTCTTAATATCACAGGAATATTTTTCAATAAAATCAATAGAATGCTCTATAGTTTTGAGATGCCTTGTACTGAGTCTAAGTTTTGCTTTAGACGCCTGAACGTATCGTTCTATTTTCTCATAATATGGCCACAAAAATATAGAATCGTAGTACTGAGCAACGCCAATATCATTATAAGACCGCATATTACTCAGCAAGGTTGTTTACAAACATATAAAATCTCTGTTGATCGTCCTAGAAATACGTCACATTGCTATCTCATTTGCATGTCATCAAATATAATAAGCAAAATGTACATAAACTATTTCAAAATACAAGACAACTAATAAATGTTACAAAGTTTTATGGATTTAGCTGTCTTTACAAAAAGGATAGTTTCGTCAGAAGGCGAAGAAACCACCACATATCACGGTGGGACGGTGTGACACCACGACTCTTTCATTACTGATCCTTCCATGGTACAGATATTAGTTGAGTTTCTGGTGAACAAAACTATCAGATTACTGAATCTTCTTCATTCGTTACTTCAAATGTTCTTATTTGATTGTTCGGCTATGTCTTGACGATGGCAGTGTAACTATTCAAACGTTAATGCAGTAATTGAAAACAAAAAAAAATTCTTTTTTGTCTTATAATCAAATCTTTTAATTATAAAGAAATGATGAATAAATATAAATTAAAAAGCTGCTGTTAACTCAACCATTTTCATATGACAAGTCAATGTGCTTTTACAGAATTAGGAAATTTCTAAAAAGATTAGTGTAAAACAATAATATTCCAAACTAGATGCTATTATCTTCTTCAATAATCCCAATAGATATTATGGTATTTTTTTAAAATCCTCATCAATAGTAGAATACTTTGCTCTCAAAAAGATTTTCTTATCTCTTCTTTCTTAAGGCACATACGTGATATTATGATAAAATCTGAGCAAGTCAAAATAATAATCGGTCAGGTTTCATCTTTAATAACCATTTACGAATAATAAAAACAAAAATCTTTTTTTTATCTTTCTTGCTATTATACTATATACACATGTTTATGTGTATTGTCAGTCATTCTTATTTGATTCACTCTATATTACAAAATATTAGTCACAAATTCGTAATAGACACAACCTTTTGAATGGTGAATAGCACCATACATATATGTTGCAGTAGGAATTAAAATTCTACTAGAAACTTTTACTATGAAAGTATGTTGATTTCTACTGTAGTGAAAATTAAGAAATCCGTTTAATTTGAAGTTCTCGTAATACTATCACAGAAAAAAGATATTGATATAAATATAGTAAATGGAGCTATTTCATTCGAAACTTGATAAGAATATCGAATATTTAAGCAAGAAATTTCGTTAAAAATTTATTATTTAGATTTAACAAAATATAATTTTTCAGAACTACGTGCTATTGATTCTCAAACATTACAAATACAAGTATTTATCTAAGTTTGTAAAGATTATTTTAGTAGTGGATTCAATTCAGTTGTTGAAGCCTGTATTTTTGTAATGATGATTGTGCTATAAAATACCATCCTGTTAAAAAGAAATTTTGTTTGAAATATATAGATCTGAAGTCGTTGATATATTCAACAATTTCTTGTACTTCTCTTCTCTCTACGTTACTAATAAATAATGTGCGGGCTTGCTGCAGAAAATTATCAATATAAGCAAGTATCTTAAATTCGACTGCAGTAGAAATCAAAACTTCAATATCTACTTGTAGAAAATAAGATTTTAATTTCTACGGCAACGCATTGATTGATTTTTTTATATCTAATTTGAATTGTCTGATGTTTTACGAATTCTTTTAATGATAGTTTTATATTGTGATTTTATTATATTTAAACACTTGCAATAGTCTTAATATATGAATGTTTCTAAATATAATACATCATATATATCTAATTCGATCTATTTCGCCACTATATTTATCGCGTAGGCCGATCATTTGGAATTATTACGACGAGAAATTATTGACATGTTTTTACTTCATATGCTTGGTTGACCATATATTACACAGTAATTCATAAAAGACTGTTCTTGTCTATGCCGATTATTTTGTTGAAAAGAATATTCGATCAAAATACAACATTGTGATAAAACGCTTAGAACATTTACGTAGTGTTGTTTTTTTTCTTACAGTGACAGCAAGTGTAGTATTTCATCTTATTGGAATGTCATTCAATAACTGGCAGGGTATTAGTTGTCTTACATGTGATCCAGTTGATAGAATAGGTTCATGGGTGACATCAATAAGTCAATGTTGCTACTTATCATCAGTTGCATCAATATTTAAAACGAATTATTCAAATTCTTTTATATCTTCTGATTCATTTGTAAAAGCCATTTGTAAACCAAATCGATATTTAATGGTGAAAGATCAAAAACAAACAATGTATTGTTATAATACGGCTTTTCAAGAACTTGATATAATTTGTTTACTTGAAAATTATGATAAAAACTATTGTAAATGTCAGTAAGTTATACCAAAGTAAAATTCAAATCGTATATATTTATTTACACTCATGTTCAATAAGTTTCTGAACTGTTGTTATTTCATGTAAACGGAGTGAACTACATGCATGAGTTTATGCTTTGGGTGTGAGGTATGAGTGTGGGTCTGAAAGAATACAAGACTCACATCCACAGCCGCTATATGTCTTGAAAAATGATATATCTGCAGAAATCCAGTCAGAAAACAAAATTTGAAATTGCAATCACATATACATAGTATCACTCAATTAAGAAACATTGTTGTTGATAGATTACAGATGTCATGAATACATTTTAGAAATATATAGTTTAATAACGCATATTTGAATACAATAAACTGAAATTCTTTTCTTCTGTTCATAATCAATAAGGCTATTGAGATGGTTATATCTAGAAAAAAAATGATCTAATCATTTATAATGCTACAATTATTATATTGCACTTTTAAGTGTCCTGTAAGAGTTCGAAATATATAAAAGAATAAAGTTAAAAAGGACTATAAAATATTAAAGAACTTTAATAACTTAATAAAATAGTTACAACACAAGTTTGGCACAATAAATGGACGAGATACAATACAAGTTAACTATTGCTTGGTATTTAAATTCAGCCTGTGAAAAAAAAACTGAATGTGAAGATATAAATGATGGACAACTTGCAGATATAATATTTTTCAACAATGCTGATGAATGTATCGAGTTTATTATGTCTTCTTCAAATAAAAACGAAAAAGTTTTACTTGTTATGTGTAACTATTTTGTGTCTGAAATTGTTGTTGTAATTGTCGATAAATTTCCACAATTAGTGAGTGTTTTCTTGCTATGGAATGAAACCGAAGAAGAAAACTACAATTCTATGCAACATCATTGCATAAAAGAGTGTACGAAAGTAAGTAGTTTCTGATCTGAATATCATCTGACAAAACGAGATTTAGTGTAGATATTATGATAAATTAAAAGTGAAATTCGGCCGCTTTAGATGATTGTTATGCGTAAAAGAGTTCTCTGTGAGAAAATGATGAACTTGTTTCGTCCTCATTTCGTTCTGAAAAAATAGCATTTTTTTCTTGTAAGAAAGAGATCATTATAAATATTTTAGCATTAGAGCAAGCTCCTACTGACCACCGCTTCCTCTAGAAAAATAAAGTGAAATTATCTTTACGAAAGCCGAGATTTAACAGTTTATCCTAATTTTGACTATAGAGAAAAAATTGCGAAATATCCATTTTCCTCACCAACTTTGATGATTTTATTCTTTTGTTTTTGTCGTTTTTATAATATTTCTTGTTAACAAGTACCAATGTTTCACTTACAATTCATGTCTCATAATATTTTATCAACAAAATTAGCCGTTTATGGTCGACAATATACTATGAAGTCAGACTAAACATTGATTTCAAGAATGACATATAAATAAAAACATACACATCTAAATTTTTCTCTACTTGGAATCAGTTCGTTATTTTATTGGAAGAATGTAAGAATCAATTGAGTCATGTTATAAAAATTCGAGGCTCGCGCACGAATGATTGGCAATTATAACAATGAAACTAGCGTATCGGAGTTCAATGGTGAGATTTTCGTGTTACCAGACTTTTGCCTCTATGGAGGAACCACTCATTATTATAGAAGAATCTAAAATATTGCTCTATCTATTTTAAATACATAACTAAAAGTCTTGCTTCATACTTTTTTCCTTAGGTAAAAGCTATTTTTCATACGCTCAATGAAGTATCCGATGAAGGGTGTGGGTGTGGGTGTGGGTGTGGGTTGGTTCATTCTTCTCTTATTCCACACTCACATCCACCCACCCCACACCTCACACCCACACCCACCCACCCCACACCTCACGCCCACCCATCCCACACCTCACACCCACACCCAGTCAAGCTTTGAAGAGGAACAGAGTTGAAAAAAAATGGTCATATTGTTGAATACATTAGCTGAAGAACATGAGTTTGAGAATATTTATTCCAAACCACAGTATGCTCAGCAATTGAATTCATTACGATTCTCCTACGAAAATTTGTTTACATATAAAACTGGTACAAGTAACAGTGATTCAGCGATCAAATATATTTGGATAATTGGACACCTTATCGATAACTCTACATACACATTGAATTTTCTTATCTTGAATATAACTTCCAAACCGTTACTTGAAGCAATATTATTTGACAGTATAGAAAACAGTGATATTTCAAATAATGTTGATGATATCAAAGAAGTGAACATAATGCGTACATCAACATTGACTTCTAATGGTGAGTTTATCAATGAAAATTTACAAGCATTACTTATACGATGGCAAAAACAAACAACACGAATCATACTGAATATGTTACGTTTCGTCGGTGCTAGTGTATTGATTCCGCAAAGACTTCGTATGTTGTCTGACTTTAATCCGGATATCATTCACCCAAGAACAAACAGTAACAGCATTGTCAATTACGAATCTCCAAAAATCCTGACTAAAATCGTAGCATTGGCTCAGGGAGTTTCAACTATCACTGATGCAATAAAAGGTGTTTTGAGATTGTTCAGCTCGAGTAGTTCAACTACTATACAAAGAATTATCCGGTTTGGTTTTAATTATTTTCAGCAGAGATCGACGGTTTTGAAGGTACTCAGTATACCAGATACTCGAGCACAAGCATTCATCAACGCAGCCATTATCGATTACAATTTGCCGTCGCAAGGTAGTTTCATGCTCGGCTTAACCTATTCCAATGACTTTACATGGGATCAAATTAATTATCTTTATTCACCTTCCATGAACGGAGAATATCGTTCTCTGACTTTATTTAAAACTGGTGACAGCGTCAAAAACACAGCTTCATTTTTTATTGTCGATATTAATGCAAATTGGACTTTGGCACCCGATTTATTGCTGATCACCAAAAGTAAAAGCAGCTTCGGTGGTCTCTTTTCATCAACGAAACAATCATTCCAAGAAGTGCCACACAGCTTAACATTGGATGAAGCTGCCAGTTTGCAAAAATTCTTCATGACACTAGCGCTAGGAAACATGGCTACTATTTTGAACATTAATGTTACCTACCCGCAATTGAACTAATATCAAGCAAAACAAATGCGTGACTACATTGGAATTTTTAGCCAAGAAACGCTTTTTTCTTCCGAAAACGAACAGTTCTTATATCGCTTCTTATTATTACCTCACATTTCTTTTCTTATTTCAATATATTAAACGAATAAAAACGTTCAAATTTAGTCAGCTCTTTGACAGTACAACTTCTTCGCAATCCAAGTTTTCTAAAGAGACAATGTCGAATAGGATGTGGGTGTCGGGTGTGGGTGATTGTGGGTGTGGTTGTTGTGCTTATCTTCTCTTTACCCACTCACACACCCTTATTGATTTCAACAATATCCTTCCTCTATTTTTACTCATTGGCTTTAGATCGCTCTAAAATTCAGAAATACATGAATAAGGTTCATACAAAAAGAAACATTTCTATGAACGATTTATTGAGTCATATTCGCTTGGATTCTTGAATTTTTCGATGAAGTGTATCTCCACAAAGTTGTTTAGCATAGTCATAGTGTGGAAACCATCTTGTTTGTTCAATAGTTGTGTTGTTATTGAGACCCCGGTTTTATAGTGAACCATTGCAGTAAAACTATGCGACAATGGTCTTTATTCCTGTGTAGAAGAACCCAGTACGAAAGAGACTGTCAACCGATGATAATGGATCAGCCTCTATATAATCGATATTACAGGCTGATGTGAGCATAATCTCATTGCTATGAAGTCCATTCTAAGCATTAGTTTCAGTGACTACTGAGCCGTCATCATTGGTTGATTTGTTAACAATTAATGTCGGACGCATGCGGTAGCGTATCAACATGTCTACGATGAATGGATATTGAGGTCTGAGAGTTCTATGAACTTCACAAGTATCATCGAAATGCGATGTTCATTGTTGACAGATAAGATTGCAGGAGATGCAAATAATACGACCCCCCACATTACAACTGAAGAAGGCAGTTGCAATCATCTAGTCTCCAGCCAGTGACGTTTAGTGTGGTCAATGTGAGAATGAACGTCTTCGTATTGGTTTCAGTTTGTTCATTTCTCCAAGATTCAGAGTCTTATGTTCAGAAAAGTTTCAGTGTTTTGTCGTTTGGGGGAGATTTTCGTTGTTTAATTGTAATTTGGTTTCGGTCAGATTAACTGTTATTGATTGAGAAGACAAGGTGGAAGTGATTGGAGAAGAAGGTTGCATGGATCGAACAAAGCTACAGTTCGGGCTTCGTTCTGCATGAATAATAAAAGGTATCATAGTCGTTGTTCCACCAGATATTTCAACATTGCACACATTGCATCGAACAATATCATCAATGCCTGTGTATCTGAGTCCAGTCGCTTTCATATCATTCAGTGTATGACATACACCTGATTTTCGAAGTTTAGCACGTAGCTGAAGATCGTTTCTTCTACAACCGATGAAACAAGGATTTTCGATCAATAATCAACTCGTTTCTTCTTTTCGTATTGTTTTCAGTAAAATATCGCAAGAATCCGTTAAGCCCCCCCCCCTCCCCCCAAAGTCACTTTTCGTCAAAATCATTGAAATTGAGAAAAATGCATAGGGAGATAGCCCGTGATCTGCTCTTTCATATACGATAAAAATTTTTATTCAGCATCTCTTTTTTTTCCAAAAATTTTGGAAGATTTTCGTAACCCCCTATTCGAAAAACAGGCCGTTTTTACAAAAAACCGAAAATCATTTTTCATTTTTCTCAGAACGTGGGTTCAACGACGTATCTCCAGCAGAATTCCATCACAGTAAGAGATAAAGCCAAATCTTTGTTTTGTTCGAAAGAGCGTCAAAAACTGTAGGTGCTATGGGGCTCCGTTTTTTGAATGACGCATTGTTATTATTATATTGAAAAGCACTTTTATAATTAGAGCGCCATTTTTTAAGAGTTTTACGAGTGAATGAACTTGTCGACCCTTTTCTCCGCTTGATAGATAAGAATTAAGAAAAAAAAGGACGCTCACAGGCCCTACATCCTGAGATGCTCTTTCAAACAAAAAAAAATATCTATATTGAATGAAGGGCCACAGAGAAATCTTGCAGACAAAATGAGCAAATTTTGACCCTTGTTTGGTTCATATCTCTGTCAAACGTCAGGATATCGAGCTGAAAATTTTACCACAGCTTCCTCACTTCAGCCCCAACATATGCTCCAAATTTCAGCCCATCTGAACGTACCTGGACTGAGATCGATTTTTGAGGAGGGGGGGGGGGATGGCCTTAACATCAAGAGCAAAGTATAAGCATTGTTATTACCTTTGTTCATTCTGAATAATCAGGATTGAAATTGAACATAGTAAAACCTTGTGAAGCTGGCTACAAACGTCTAATGGTTAATGCTCACTTAGTAGGAATGGTCTTCTATACTCACTGAACCTGCTTCAGCACCATTAGGTTGATATTGAACCATATAAGTTTCACTTTGGTTTGTTCGCCATCCTGCAATATCAAATCGAGCTCGTGAATTTATATGATCATATAATAATTGTTGCAAGCCGGAGGTTGATGTTTGCCAAGTATATAATCCACTTATATTCAATTTTCCTTGAAATTGCTTGGGGAAGCCCTTTTGGCCTGAACATTTATTTGTTAAAAGAACCAAGAGTGCTAAAAATATTATTTGTTTCACTTTGTAGTAGTTTCAAAGAAAATATTGTTTTGCATTCAGTAATATTGGCAGAAAAAATATGGCGTATATATTGTCTCGTTTGAGAATATGATAAGACAAAAAAGAATGACGACAAAATTTCAATTTTTTTGTTCTGTCATCATAGTGAGGCGAAACATTCTCATACAATTAAATTTGTAACATGATATGTAGCTAGACTACGACTGATTTTTTATATAGGCATCATTTCCAATAATCGTTAGTTGCAACAGAGCATGACACAATGCCTTGCTCAAGTGCACATTTAAATGGCAGAACGCTCATGACAGTTTGTATGGGAATAGTAGCACAGATTCGAACTTCGTTCGACAATACTGTGCAAACAGCAATAGCTCTTCAACGAAAAAACTAGGGTATTTACAATAATTTATAAAATGAATATCTATTCAACCGCAGGCCACTTTATCTTAAATTCTGTTTCTAAAAAATAACGTATGTATTTTGTCTGAGACATATCATTGCGACCCAGGTAGAACAATCGGATGACAAGTTCTTACAAGGATCATATGTCTGATCATATCTGACCTTATAAGATCCGATGAAAAAACGTACGCAAAATCGTCGTTTCTGACTTCTTATCTACGATCGCATTATAAGATTCTTGAAAGATTCTGTTACGTATGATGTACCACAGTAATATTTCAATAAAATTAATTATCTTCTCAAAATATCACTACAGTTTTTAATACAAATAAAGTGAACGTAAAATCTTTCGAGGAAAATATAGTATGATCTGATGCAAGATCTCAGAGACGACGATTTTTTGTTAGATTCTTGAAAGATTTCGTCCATATTGCAAGATCTTGCGTGTATAACATAAGATCTTATGGCAGATTTTTTGACCTGGGAAGCAACGAATAACATTTTCATTCCTTGTCCTGTAGGTTTAATCATCTTTTCCACATTAATTTGAGCATACCATTTTTTTTCGACGAACTTTGATGTACACTCTGTGACACCATCACTAAGGATAACAAGTCGCACCTGTATCTTATGATGATTCCAACGAAAGTCATATAAAACGCTTGACGTGTTCAGTTGAATAAAAACGTTATTGGCCTGATTTCACTGAAGTACGTATAACTGAGAAAGATACTGATTATTATTTCTTTGTTCTAGTTGAATGAAAAACACCAACGCATAGATGCAATTGAGCTCGTGACGAGTTGTGAAAAGATGGAGTACTCGCATTCTTATCTAGGATATTTTAAATCGACTGAGACCGATATATCATATCGGTATTTTTATATTTTGAAATTAATTCATTCCCAGGTCGAGAAATCTGACATCAGATTGTACAGGATCTTATAAGATCTTGTAGTCTGAACAAAATCTTGCAAGAATCTGACAAAAAATCGTAGTCTCTGATTTCTTACACTAAGTCGTATTAACAGATCATATAAAGATCTTACATGCACTTTATGTTCACCACAAACTTATAGTGCTATTTGACGGCCATATTAGTTTAAATAGAATGGTGCTGTGATTAGTTCACGACCCAACAGATTCTTACAAGGATCTGTTAATACGACTTAGTGTAAGAAATCAGAGACTACGATTTTCCGTACGAATTTCGTCTGATCGTATCAGATCAAATATGATCAGACGTACGATTCTTGTAAGGTCTTATTATCTGAATGTTTACCCTGGGTTTGTTAAAACACGAGCGACTTCCTCTACGTTGACATACCATGATGATCATGAATCAAATCAGTTTCAATAAACAGTTCGAAAAATTGGT